ATATAGCTATCTTTATATTTTTCTAATTCATGTTAAGAAATTTGAATATAGCTTTTATGTTTTTCTAATTCATGTTCTTTATTTTATTTATTTATTTAATATTTTCTTAATAAAAATAAACAGCAAGAGATTTACGTAATGGCGAAAGATGACACTGTGTTTTCAGTGCCTGTTTATATTGGCATTCCTTAACAATATTTTAAAAATTATGAAGCAATTAAGCGTTTCGAAACCATGTTGACCAACACGTCAACAAAATGACAAGCACCGACTCTCTCGAATTTCACGAGAAAACGAAAGAGAAAAAAGTAAAAGAAGATAAGAATGACGGACGCTAGAAAAAAAACAGGGCTAGGCAAGGTCGCAGAGTATGTATGAGATTCCTCTTTCCCGAGGTTTTCCTGGTTGGGCGGCTGAGGTCACGCCCGCCGGAGGAGAGGCGCGGACTCGAGTTCGTCACCCGCGCGGCTCATTCGGAGAGGGTAAGTCGCACGCACTCGAAAGGCGAGAGTCAGGAAGTTTTGGGAAATTCAATTTTTACGACTCACGCCAAGTCAGTGAGTCGTGCTAACTCAATAAGGAATGGAAAGTTTTTTTTTATATCACGTTGAGGCAACAAGTCAAGCGAAGTCAATAAGAGACCCAGTTTAAAAGGCGGTCTTCATAGGTCACGCCGTCAATAAGGCAAACTAGGTCAGTAAGCCAGGTGCACTCAGTAAGTCACGCAGTGGTAATAAGCCGCTCATAGTTAGTATTCAAAAATCTAATGTTATGAATTGAAACAAATTTTGAGGGCAGCGAGTGCGGTTGAAACCATGAACATGCAACAAAAAACGCGCTCGTATTGCAAGCAACTTAGTGCACATTCAGAACAGTTATGTCTCATAGAAACAGCAATAAAAAGTCAAACGGGACAATTCCGGCGAGTTAGACTCCAGGAGGGAAACTGATTTCGTCATCGACTTTTACAAAAAAAGTAGACATCATAAACCTTCTGTCACGGTGTTGCAAGCGAACGAACACGTTGCAAAACAAAGAGGAATATTGAAGAGGCCTTTCATGCATTACACAGTTTCAACAGGAACTCACTTGACGGCCATTCATGTCAGAGAAGTGAATATGCCTCGCCAAAGAACTGGTCCACGCTTTCTTGCCCAATTTTTCCCAAGGCAGCTGCAACCTTTGCCGAGGCTCCATTCCTAGTTCCCTCGACGGGCTTCGGGATCTCTTTCGGAATCGAGTCTTTCCGCCACGGCGCTCGCTGACCCGGCGCCGGACGGGTGACCTTTCGCGGCCTTATGCAATCGGTCGCTGGACGAACTGCTCCAGAATCTTAGTCAAGGACATGGCCACTTACCGCGAGCGTAAGATAAGACATGACGATACCAAGACGTGTGGATTACGAATCTCGAAAAAGCGAAGACATTGAATACACATTTATCCCTCAAATTTGTACATAAGAACCAAGATCAATTTCGTTCACCAGCCCTTTTAACCAAACGTTAGAACAAAGAGAAACCCAAACAAGGCGAAGCACAGTCCTCCGGCGCCCTCCCTGAGCGGCCAGTACGGATCCCGCTGTTTCCACCGGCCGCAAACAAAGGCACACACGACCGCGTATAGATCAAGGTCGCCCGCTGGAAACAGGCTCAGCCCATACGCAGGATCCTGTCTAAGAATAACCGGCCCAGCGGGACAGCGGCCGCGGTGTTGCGTAGCATCTGGTGCAAGGTCAGTCGGAGGGTATGTAGGGTAATGAGGGTTTATTCCATTAGGATTTGAGATATTTGCTTTAGTATATTATATAGATAAGGATGTATAGATGCAGATAAGTGTAGATAAGGATGTGGTTCTCCCTCTCCTGTGTAGAGATATCGAGATCCGGATAAAACAGCGACTGCTCGCGGTTTTATGCGCATGTCAAAGGCGAATTCGCTCTCGTTTGACGACCGTCCTGCCCGGCACCGTTATCTCTGTGGCCAAGCCTCCCCCGCCCTTAGTTTTCCGCAACTTTGCTCCCAAAACCCGATTGTTGGGTCGGCTTCGCGAGGAGAAAAAAGGGCGGCCCGACCTGTTTTTCTCAAGAAATGACTTATTGTGCCATGAACTTAACCTGTACACGGCGCGCGTGCCCTTGGGAATTATTTTTAGAATTTCTTAATTTAATAATATTTTTTTCATGGTAACTTTATCTATAATTACATACACGCACGCATGCACATACTCCCATATGTGATACACACACATGCGTACACGCGCTAATATACACACACACACATATATATATATATATATATATATATATATATATATATATATATATAATATATATATATATATATATATATATATATATATATATATATATATATATATATATATATATATATATATATATTACATGTATATGTGTATATATTCACATATATATAATTATATGTGTATATATATAATTATAACACACACACACACACACACACACATACACCACACACACACACATACACTCACACACACACACACACACACACACACACACACACACACACACACACACACAACACACACCACACACACACACACACACACACACACACACATACACACACACACACACACACACACACACACACACATACACTTACACACACACACATACAACACACACACACACACACACACACACACACACACACACACACACAC